GGGGGGGGGGGGCTTCATTTTTAAATATTTGGAAGCCCATCGTGTGCCAGACACCATTAAACAAAGGATTTTTAAGACCTCAGTCTGTCTAGTGTTCTCTTTGTTTCATAGAAGAAAATGAGATCTAAAAGGTCCAGAGGTGCCCAAAGTTACCCTGAGGCTGTAAGAGGATTTAGAACTAGAATATCTTTTGTGGATTTAAGATTAGTTCTCTTTTGATTATTGACAAGAGAAGTAATGAAAACTGAGTGCTCATCACTATAACTATTGGTTTCCCCCATCAAAGGCATAAAATAGATATTAGAGGATAGAAATGATTGAAGGCAAAATTAGCCATCCCATATAGCTAGTCTTTCACACTAGACTTCATTAATTAGGCTCATTCAAATCATTACTGAGCCCTGGCCAGTGTGACTCCGTTGGTTGGGTGTTGTCCCATGTAGCAGGAGGTTGCTGGTTTAATTCCTGGTCAAGGGCACATGCCTGGGTTGTGGGCTTGATCTCCTGTAGGGGCCGTGCAGGAGGCAGCCAGTCAATGTGCTTTCACATTGATGTTTCTCTCTCTCCCCCTCTCCCTTCCCTTCTCTCTAGGAAAAAAAAATCATTACTGAATGTTCAGTTCTTCATCTCTTCCATCTCACTCCTCAGAGCCCAAGAGGTTCAAAACATTTGTTTAACATGTAGAGGCCCACTGTCCTGGAGAATGAACACAGGACAGAGTGCATGCAGAAAGCTTCCAGCCTAGGGACAGCTAGATAGTTACAGTACACTGAGGGTGTGGGGTGGCAAAGATCTTAAAGGAGACACAGCCTAATGCAGGGGAATGGGGACAGGGAAACTCTGGGGGGAAGTGGCCTGAATCCTGAAAATGAAGAGGCCTAAGCCAGGGGGAGGGGTTGGGTGAGCAGTAGGTAGGGAGTAATTGCCTCAGGACCTGATTTTTCTTTAGCCTTTGACCTGGAAGTGAGAACCTGATGCATTCCAGGAACTAGAAGAAACTCAATGTTGGTTAGATGGGAGTGAGCAGGGAGAAGGGAGATGTGTCCAGAGAAAAAGGAGCCTTGTGGGCCCGTTAAGGAATGAGCACTTGATCCTAAGGGTAGAGAAGGTCTTTAGCAAGGTGTGATCAGCACGTGCATTTCTCTCTGGATTTTGAGTCCCCCCTTCCCCATCAGCTTCATTCTGTCCCCACAGTGCAATGACAATCTTGTGTATGGAGCACCTTAGAGATCTAACACGGGCCCTTCCCGCTAACCCAGGAACCAGTTCCAACGTTCAGAGCTGTGCACAAGTTTGTCTAAGAACAATGGCTTGTTTTTATAAGAGTACTAATGTAGACTTGTTTGGGTCTGAAACCCAGAAATGGTTAAATGATCAGTATCTACAGAATGAATTAGGCATTCAGTGTTTATAATGTTTTGGAAGAATTTTTATTCAAGCAGAAAAATGCTTGAGTACTGAGAAAATCACTTTGAGATGGTACATAAACATGCACATAGAAAGATCACAGTAATAAAGGTATAAATATATCTCCCTGGGGAGAATGAAACCAGGAAGAAACAAACTTCATATCTCATGTTCCTGGAATTTATTAATGTGGGCATTCTTTCTGTTCATGCTTTTATCAACTTCTGATTAAATTTTAATGAGTGCGCAGCTTTGATAATCAGGAAATGTGTTAAGAATTTCTTACCCTACCCAAAAAACACAAACTCTTATTCTTAAGAATGGAAATTTATTTCATACCATTGAGAAAAAAATCATTATTGGCTTTTACCTGAGTGGTTTTCTGAGTTACACATACATTAAAAAGAAGTAGGGACTGGAAAAACAAAACAAAACAACACAACACAACACAACAAAAAGTAAAGGTATCAGTTCATATTAGCTTATTATATACCATCCTTAAGCCTATAAATTCACTTTCACATTGTCTCTGGCCTCGTTTCACATTGTTTTCATGCAGTGTTAGAACGCAAACAACATGGAACTTTGTCACCCTTTCAAAAAATTAAGTTAGTCCAAAATAACTTCATTTGTGTGATAGGAAAAGAGTTGAATGCAGGGCATGTTCTCAGTGTTGTAAAAGAGTGTTTGCACACACATGGGTACCTTAAATAAGACTTCTCTTAATAAAAATTAAAAAAAAAGACTTCATCCAGAGTCTTAGGCTCACTGATGGCTGCTTAGAAAATTGCTTTCCTGGTTTGGTTCACAACGCTGAGGTCTTCCCCATCTGGGGCCATTCAACAGTGTCCTGCCACCTGGAGACAGAAGTCAGGGCCTGCTCTGGGCCCAACCCATCCTCCACTGGCTTCCTGATGTTCACATCTGTGTCTGCAAGACGCGGTCCGTTGTGTAAGATAGGTTTTCTGGCTGCTTCTTTTTCTCATCCTGATCAAACTGAGCTTCAATCTCTGCTGGATTGACGTACGTGTAGAATCGAGCCATGATAGCAAAGACTATGCAGACAACCAGGAGCAACGAAGCAAACAGAACATACTCGGCCCACTTGGAAGGAATTGGAGTTGGAGCAGGAAAAAAAACAAAAACAATACTGGTTATAGTAGTGTAATATAGCATGTGTTTATTTTCTTGCTATGCCTAGATAGAAGGTACTCTGAAATTAAATTGTTAGGGAAAATCGGTAGGCTTCTGCTATAGGTACAGTATGGTCAGTTATTGCCCGAGATACAGAAGGGCCAGCTTTTCCTGAATGCTCAGGCATCAAGATAACATTTTTCTTACAGCCCTGGAATGCAGAAACACAAGACTTTGGGAAGATGAGAGAATATTTCTGAAAAACCCAAGTCTTAAGGCACATAGCTGGCCCCTGGAAGGATGGAGACCAAGAGAACACCAGGCAGTACTCTTGAAAGAAAAAGAATATGCTGAACTGTGTGCAGTGGAGAGCCCCAGGGTATCCTTTGGCAGTACCCCGAGGTCACCAGCACGCAGCATTGGCGCACGCTCTGATAGGGCCCAGTAGGAGAAGTAATGAGACTGACGGGGTCGGGTAAAGGGCGACTCCCTTATGAGGTAGACATGCTGATGTGCTGAAGGAGAGAGTTTCAGTATCATAGAAAGCCCTTACTTCATTTTAGCTGGAAAAATTACAACCACCTTTAGAATGGCTTTAACCTTAGGCATGATGACAGTTTCTGGATAATACGCCTGGTTTGGGGACATTACATTGCATTCACTTAAGCCAGGAAAGACCTTTTCTTTGATAGTAAATGACATCAGGGCGTATGTATGTTAACTCAATCTGGTTATTTTGGTTGTCAATTTCCAACTGTGTAACAGTGGAAACAAGAAGACCATTTGGTACCTGCCCTATCTGGCTAGTCTAGCAGTTTTATTCAGCTGTGAGCTGAGATGACCATGTAGATGTAGGTGACTAGGGAGGGTCATCGTGATGACCAAGGATAGACAGGACAAAGGTACATCTCCTTCTCCACCCTGTACCTGTTCATCGAACTGGCCTGCTCCTGCTACGATGAGCACAATGATGTTACCAATGGCCACTGTCAACAGCCATCCTGCTTGCAGCACCGACTTCATGTTGGAAGGAGCCTGAGGAAGCAACGCAGAGAATGCCAACCTGGATCTCAACCTCAGCAGGAGAACACAACCAGATTCATTTAATTAGGCAGTCACCCTAAAAATGCACAGGCTGGTTTGAATGTTAAAGGTATCATTGCTTGGGGAGCAAGATGCCCCAAATCCTCAAGTTGCATGAACATACAAGGAGCCCTTGTTTTTCACTCTCCACATATTTGCAAAATTGCCGTCCTAGTTAAACAGACAAATCTGCAGATGAACTGATCCTATTTCTACAGAAGAGCTTCCAAGCAAAGCCATCCAGGAAGACACCTTCCCCCGACATGGAGGCTGCTCCCTGGGCTGTGAGCTTGCTCTCCTGTGACTTCCCTGCCACGTCACCAAAACCTCTCTTCAAACTCTTGTCACCTGTGTTATATCATCTTTGTTACACTGTGAGGTCACCACAGAAAGGGACCATCCAGCTCATATTTTACAACCCTTACTGTAAAACTTGAAGGTGCTAGATATGATGGGGATACAATGACTATAACTGTAGCTTTGATAAAATCATTCAGAAATTAAACTCTAAGTCAGGTATTGGCGAAATTTGCCTCATTAATGTAACAGTATTTTTTTAATGTTTAAAAGCTAGGCCTTAATCAGTGCGCTTGCTAGGAGCTGCAGAGAGACCTCCACGGAACCTTAAAGGTAATGAGGACACAGGCCTGGGAGTGAGCACTGTTATGAATGGCCCATGCCGTTTGGTTGTTTCAGAAAGCAGGGCCCCCTGCCTATCATGACCCTGGTAAACGTTGTTAATATAGTTTTCCCTGCTTAGGACAATAAAGCTCTGTGTACTACTGTGGGAATATAGACACATATGACATATGCACTCATGAAGCTAAACAGTCATATTCTTACTTAGTAAAGACAACACGTGGTGACCTCAAAAACCTTGTTTGGTAGAATATGCCATAATGCTTTCTAGAGTTATTTTAAATTATAAATGTATGGCTAACACGGATTTAAATGAAGTCCAAGCAGCATTTTGAAGGCAGGGATATAGAGGAAGGGTGGTAAAAACAATGAACAAGAAACCTGAGAATATGAGAACTCCAATCCTGTGACCGAGAAAACCACCTCGCCGCAGGTCATGAGGAAATACTGTGGGATTTGCAGGGCCATGTTAACTGTGTTGGGTGGAATATCTTCAGATGTTTCCAGTGTAGGGCAGCCATCACCCTAAACCAATAAGGCAAAAGTGAGAAAAAGAAATGAAAATCAAGTTGGCTTCTAAAGTAAAAATTGCTCAAACTGGCAAATTGAGTTTTGACTTCTAGGGTGATGTCATATGGTTTATCAAGCAAGTATACATTTTCAATGTAAATACGCAACATTGCATTTGATACTTGTGATGAGATGGCCACGGTGGGATTTGAAAATATGTTCACTGGTATTTTCCTCTGAAATAAGAGAGTGGATTGGGAGTCAGATTTGTTTAACACATCGCCATCTCTGTGAACTAAAGGCATCAGATACTGGTCAATGTGAGATTTTAGTGAGAGTAAGTCAGTCTGCTGAATTTTATTCTAACAGTGAACTTAAGTCAATGATAAGTTAAAGACTTGGTGGTGAGCTTGATTAATTCTAAGCCCATTTAAAATACAGATCCTAATATTACTCTGGTAAAATCATGGTTATGTCCTGAGTATTTGCGAGGACTCAGATGAAGACAGCGTGAGCAGCACTTCTGACTCGACGGACTGGGTTGCTAACCTTCTGGAAGATGACATAGGTATATGCACTACCAAACCCAAGGTTGGATGAGGCAAAAGTTTTATTGCAGTGTTCTGGAATCTCTCCTGAGATTAGTGTGATGTTTTTCCTATGGAAAGAAAGCATAATATAGGTTAACATCTTCAGTTTTAGAAGTTTCAATGTATTGTTTAAAGAATAAGACTTGGAATCCGTGAACATTGGAACAAAGTGTTCAGTATAGATACTTACACGCCAGAAGGAAAAAACTGGTATTCGCTGGCATTGTAACTGGTAACAATGTCATACAGTGTGCCATCCACTGTGATGTTGAGGCTCCTACCAAAAGCATTTACAAATCTGAAAAAGAAAAACACAGACAACAGCATGGTGATTACCAGAGAGAAAGGCGGGACAAAGGGAGGTAGAAGAGGGTGAAGGGGGGATAAATGGTGATGGAGGGAGACTGGACTTGGGTTGGTGAACACACAATACAACATATGGATGATATGTTATAGAACTGTACACCTGAAACCTGTATAATTTTATTAATCAATATCACCCCCAATAAATTCAATAAATATATTTTAAAAAAATATATCTTTATTGATTTCACAGAGAGGAAGGGAGAGGGAGAGAGTGGAAACATCAATGATGAGAGAGTTGTCACTGATCGGCTGCCTCCTGCACGCCCCTGACTGGGGATCGAGCCTGCAAACCAGGCATGTGCCCTGACCGGGAATTGAACTGTGATCTCCTGGATCCTAGGTCAATGCTCAACCGCTGAGCCACGCCTGGCCAGGCCAATAAATAAATTTTTTAAAATGCATGAGAGCCCTGCTGGTGTGGCTCAGTGGTTGAGTGTCAACCCATGAACCAACAGGTCACCAGTTCAATTCCCAGTCAGGGCACATACCTGGGCTCGATCCCCAGTAGGGGGCATGCAGGAGGCAGCCAATAGATGTTTCTCTCTCATTAATGTTTTTCTCTATCCCTCCCCTGTCCTCTCTCTCTAAAATCAATAAAAACATATTTTAAAAATATAGATGAGGAAAATCAGTATCAAATTCTCAACCACTTTTCAACTGAAGTATTACCACCTTATTTAAAAGACTATTTAGGGTAGTCTACTAAAGCGTTCCAACTTACTGATGCCACATAATTAAAAGGATACCATTTTGCTTAAAATTCTGTGCTCTTTGTTTAATTCATATATTACTCAGAAATCTGACTTCCTGAAATTCTTGAAGTTGTTCTATTTATCAGTTAGTTTCTGACTAGTTTTTCAGAGCTTCCCCCTTTTTTATGGGTTGTCTCCTAAACATTACTGAAATAATAACACCTTGGATCTATTCAGGATCTGATATTGCAGTTAAAAGAAAAAAGTTTCTGGTTTATCTTTTACCACACATGTGGGTTGGTGGGGTAAAGTGTTACTGACATCTTGGGTCCTTCTTTTCCAAGATCTCAATAATGACAATTTAAAAAAAAAATGAACGAAGCTTTAACAGCACTGGAACAATCAAGAATACCACAATTTAAACTGTCCAAAGTTTCCAAAGATAGGAGGCATTTCTGGAGAAATCAAAACAATGGATTCTGAGGCACAAAGAAAATCCCAGTGGCATTTCGGGCTCAGAATCCAATACAAAGATCAGGAAAGGGCCAGGTGAGCACGATCAGGATTTCCTTCCCAGTCTGCTAGGCCAGCTGTGGTATGTGGGACAGTGGAACAATGCAGAAGACACAGAAGGTGTTATGAACTGAATTGTGTTCCCCGCATCCCAAATTCCTATGTTGAAATCCTAACCCTCAGTAGTTCAGGATGTGACCATATTTGGAGATAGGGTCTTTAAAGAGGTAAAATGTCATTAGAGTGGGGCCTTAATCCATTTGGTATTATCAGTTAAAAAATATATTATAGCCATTCAATAGGTGTGTCATGAACTCACTGTGGTTTAAATTTGTATTTCCTTAATGGCCAATGATGTTGAACATCTTTTCATGTGTTTCTTTGCCATTTGTATATCTTCTTTGGTGAGATGTCTGTTAAAACCTTTTGTTCTGTTTTTTAACTGGGTTATTTTCTTATCATTGAGTTTTCAGAGTAATTTATATATTCTGGATACAAATTCTTTGTCAGATACGTGATTTGTAAATATTTTCTACCAGTATGTAGCTTATCCTTTCATTCTCTTAACAGTGAGATTTATAGAACAAATGTTTTTAGTTTGGATGAAATCTAATTTATCAATATTTTCACATATATTAAATTTTTCATTATGTATATAATATATAGTATAGGTAACAGAATATTAATCAGCCATAAAAAGAAAGAAATCCTGCCATTGTGACAGCATGGATGAACCTGGAGGGCACTATGCTAAGTGAAATAAGCCAGTCAGAGAGAGACAAATGATAAAAGGTATTATTTATACATAGAATCTAAAAAACACACACAAAGTTGAACTCATAGAGAGTAGAAGAGAGGTTGCCATGGACTAGGGGTGGGAAATAGGGAGATGTTGATTAAAGGGTATAAACTTTTAGTTCTAAGGTGAGTAAGTTCTGAGGATCTAATGTACGACATGGTGACTAAAGGTAACAATACTGTAAAGCACTCTTGAAATTTGCTAAGAGATTAGATCTTAAGCATTCTTACCACACAAAAAAAGGAACCACAGCTGCACTTTGAAATGATGGATGTGTTAACTTAAATGTGGTAAATACTTCACAATGTATACATATATTAAATCATGATATTGTACACTTTAAATATATACAATTTTGTCAGTTATAACTCAATAAAACTGGAAAAAATAAAAAATAATGCTATGATTTTGATAAGAATTGTACAAAACCACGGATCAGTTTGGGAAGAACTGACATCTTTACAATGTTAATTCTTCTAATCAATGAACCTAGCATATCTCTCCATCTATTTAGGTCTTCATTGATTTCTTTCATAAGCCTTTTGTAGTCTGAACTCTCAAATCCTGTATATGTTTCCTTAGACTTATAACTAGTATTTCATCTTTGTTTTGGAGCTATTGTAAATGTTATTTAAAGTTTCAGTTTCCAATTGTTCATTGCTGGTGTGCAGAAATATGTTTGTTTTGTGTTTGGCCTTGTATCTTGGACTCATTCTAAACTCACTTATTGATTCCATGAATTTTTTTTTGTAGAGTTCTTGGGATGTCCTATGCAGATGATTATACCATCTATGCATAGCAAGTTTTATTTCTTCCTTTTCAATCCTTTTAACTTCTTTTTCTTGTCTTATTGCATTAGCCTCTGGGAGGATGTTGAATATGACTAAAGAGAAGAGATGATCTTACATTGTTTCTGATCTTATGGGGAAAGCATTTCGACTTTCACCGTTAAGTATAATGGTAGCTTGGGAACTTTTTTTTTAAGATGTTCTTTTTCTGAGTAAGGAAGTTCCCTTCAATTACTAGTTTGCTGAGAGTTTTTCTCATAAATGGATACTGAATTTTAGCAAATGCCTTTTTTGTATCAATTGATATGATTTTATGGATTTTCCTCTTTAGTTTATTAAGATAATGAATTATATTGGTTAATATTTTTAAAATATTGAACCAGCCTTACCTTTTTGGGATAAACCCATACTCTCATTTTATATCCTTGTTACAGGGACTTTACAATGGGTATGCATAAGAAGCTGATTTAACTTAATTTTTAACTTAATTTTTACACATACCTCATTCCATTTTGCCCTTTTTTTGGCTTCTGGTTAAGGCCATCCTTTACCTGAGGAAGAAAACATTTTAAAATCTAGCCCATCAGAATACATTTAGATGACCATTTCAGCCTCTGAGGAGCAGAATGATGTTAACATTTATCCTGGGAGGTAAAGGCATGATGATTACATTTTCAGGGCTCCATCCTTCAGCCCTAGTTTTCCTTGATCTTAACATGAGCCTCTACAATTTTCAATGCTTGCTTTCCAGTGGTTCCACAGAACACTGTTTTCCAAGAATTTAGAACAAGCCATTCAACAACTCCCCAATTAAATACACAACCCAGAAGTCATAATTCTATGTTGCAGTTCTATAGAAGCTCACTTAAATTCACCTTGCAGAATACCCACACCTCCTTTATTTAGTTTAACTGCACATTCACAGCTTCTCTATATGCTAAATGGCACATCTAGATCCTATATTTTGTCATGAAATATTTTATATGTGTTTTTGTTGCTTTTACTTGCTATATTCGCTATACTCTTTATGGAAACTGTGCCAATTTCCCAATTACTCAGGGCAAAATTTTAAAATTAATGTAATTAAAGATATATTTTAAACGTTATCTCAAAAAGTCACTGAGAGTGCACATATGTACTCTGTGTGACTTGTGTATACACACACACACACACATCATGCTCAAAAGTTCTTTTTTTCTTAATTCTCACCCCAGGACATGTTTCTATTCATGAGAGAGAGAGAGAGGGAGGAATATCTATATGAGAGAGAAACATTCATCAGTTGCCTTCCATATGAGCCCTGACCGGGGATCAAACCCACAACCTGGGTATGTGCCCTGATTGGGAATTGAACCTGCAACCTTTTGGTGTATGGGACAATATTCCAATTGACTGATCCATCTGTCCAGGGCACTCAAAAGTTCTTTAAAAATTTTTTAATATTACCCTTCCCATCCACCAAACTTTTATTGGAAATTAAGTGACTTATGTCGTTGAAGAAGAAAGAAATTGAGGGTTATCTAATGTAATACTACATAAGGTAAAACAAAGTCACTCCACTAAAAGTCCATGTCTCCAATATCACATATAATAAAAGGTCAGCTGTAGGTGTCCAGCTACTTACCACTCGGTAATTATTGGGGGCCCACACTAGAAGGGTATGGCGATGACCCTCCTGAAAGTCAGGAGTTACTGGAGTGACTGATGATCCAGGGGAAGAAATGTTTATACTTGTCAGTGTGTCCAAATCAAAAGTCCTAAATTCCGCTTTCTGTAACTGGGGAGAAGGAGTCATAGTTAACACCACAGAACCTTCCTCATCACTGTATAATTGAACACTGTCATGGCATATTATTTGACATTCCCAGTGCATGTTCATATACATAAAAAAATGCCTTGGGGGAGCTGGCATTGGTTTGTCTTGCCCCCCCCCCCCC